TCTCTTATCTCACCCGTAATAGTTTTTATTCCCTCCTTTTCCCTTTCCCTTTCCCTTTCCCTTTCCCTTTCCCTTTCCCTTTCCCTTTCCCTTTCCCTTGTTTTTCTAATCTTCAGACTGTTCTGCTAACTCCAGAGCTGCTTTCCGCAGCCGGAATACCCTCCCTGCCTTTGCACACTCAGCAGCACCCGTTTCCCTTCACATGTTCCTCAAATCCACCCCTTCCCCTGATTTTTGGGAGATTTCTTGCTTTCATGGCAGCCGGCGTGAGCAGAGGCAGCACAAGGAGTAGTGAAGAGAGAAAGGCTTCGCTGTGCCCCTGCCACACGCGCTGGGCCATAGCAAGGTACCAAGGTGGGCACATCAGCTGTGGGGATAAAAACGGGCTGGAGGAATCAGCCTGGGTAAGTCCCCAAAGGAAATATGATGTATCCTATATAAGTTGTCAGAACCCGACATCAAATTTCACCTCCGAGACAGTTTTTCTTGCTCTGCAGTAGACAATCTATCAAATCCAGCAATGAACACAGCCTGTGTGCTTTATCGCAGATAAAATACGCGTGGCAAAGAAAAAATATGGATGGGAAACATAAAATATGGATGCAAAGCAACCTGTGAGTACAGCTGGCAGTGCACAGAGTGGTACCAGGGTGGGATTCAGACATGTATATCTGCATCGCACATAGCTCTCACCTACAGTTAAGTGGTCGAAATGAATCCCAGCCCATAAAGACGTTGTAAATCGCTGCGGCGCTCCTCCTGCCGAAGACAGCCGGCTCCGTGTGAAGGGAGCTGGCAGGGACCCATCGCTCCTGACCGCAAGGTAACAAGAGTTAGGGATAAAAATAGCCGCCTGTTGTTATTCACAACAGTGCCCTATAGCAACTGCTGCCCAGCGCTGGCTCCCACCTGAATAATTAATTGGTCAGCCCAGGGAGGACAAAGGGATAGAGAGAGATGGAGAACGCCCGGATAACAGACACCTTCCCTTTTAGGACTCCATAGGATGCTGCCCAGGATCTCCAGGGATCCACCCCCCTGCCACATCCCAGCGATATGGGGTGGAGAGTGCAGCACAGGCTCACAGAGCCATTTATCACCTCCTATCCACTGGAAAAAAAACAGGAATTACGCACCTAAATATACAGAGAGCCGGGGCTGCAGAGCTCGCCGAGAAATAGAAGAATCATGGGTGGGTGCAGGAGAAATTTCCACGGGGGAATTGCACACGAGGGGTGGTGGCCAGAACACCCTGAGCATCACTCTTCACAGGGTGCGTTCTCTCCTCCCTTCGTCACATCTCCATGCGTCGGCATCCGCACATGTAGAAATAAGAAATAACCGGGGTCATTTTTAATCAGGGGGGAAAAAAGATCCCTTTATGGGTACCCTGTGATCCCTTCCAGACTCTGTTTTTTGGGTTTTTTTTCCCCTTATTTCAACTAAAAGTCAATTTTCAAGCCGCAAATCAACTTTCAAGTTGCCATCTCTCAGCTTTCCCTTCTGCTGAACAACCTTGTCTCGCCCATGGAGGGGAAAGGAGCAACTTGGGGCTCATTCACAGCTCCAAAAACGAGGGGAGAGTAGCCCAAATTCAACGGAGTGTCACCTCACCATCAAGCAACACGTTGGCATTGAGGTTTCAAATATATTTGTAATGAAATGGAAGGATAATAACATGGAATTAAATGTTTTGAATTAAAAAAAAAACAAAACAAAACAACACTTTTTACAATTGAAACAACGTAGAGAAGGGAGACCACCTATGAGATGGTTTTGTCAGTGTAAATTTTAGGTTTTCCAAGGGATAAAAGGGGTTTGTCCTTGCCGGTGTCTCCCGCAGCTGCACTTGCAGGAGCTGAACCTCGATCAGGGAATTCGCTCAGGCAGGAGGAGAGTTGTCCTCACCACATGTGGAAGACGTATAATTTAACGCTGAAGGAACCATTCTTAGTCCTCTAATCTGCCCTTTCCCCTAACACAGGCTGGAGAATTTCACCTGATCGCATCTGCGCCCAGCTCAGGCATTTCTGACGTCATTTTCTTGAAGTATTTGCTATTCCCACACACTCTGGTAAATCTTTAAACTGATATAGCTCTGTTTTTGTTTTTTGGTTTTTTTTTTTCACTAGTCCCGGGGAAGAAAACCACAAAAAAACAACTATCGGTGAATACTAATGGAATTTCTTTACTTAAATGCAGGGGGAGCTGCTGGTATCTCCCCAGGAGAGCCCAGTGAAGTGGGTGAGAAGTTAAGACTCTGACCTTCAGCACGTTAGGATGGATCATAGCCACCTTCTTGCTTCCCCCAGCAGGAGCCTGGCTTATACGGGTCTGCTTCTCCTCCCACATGCCACCAGCACCCGTCTGAGCACGGCTGTGGGAGCATAAAATCTCTTCGCCGTCCTGCTTCTGATGCGCAGCCACCCCACATCCCGTGGGTGATTCGTTCTCTTCACCTACGGTGCAGAAGAAAAATACAGCAATTAATTAAAAAAAAAAAAAAACAAACAACAAAAAAACCCCAACCAAACCAAACCCACACAGGCTGTGCCTCTGGGCGCAATGAAAACTAAATTTGCCCGGCAAACGAAACCAGAGGAGTGGCTGAATCAACAAAGCTCCAAGAAGCGAGGCCGGGAGCTTGTCTGTGTAATGTGGCAACCCCGCCACGTTTCCAGGGAAGTCCGACGGACCCAGATATAGATCGCCTGAGGTTTGGTTGCTATTTCGGTCTGCTCATCTGCTCTTATGAGTTCTGGCCGTCACTAAAGACAGTGACAGCTGGTTTCTTTTTTTTTTTTTTTCTCTTTTTCCCCTCATTTTATCCACCCCCAAGCCTGGAAATCACCCATCTGTATGCAAAGCATCACCGCCTCCGCATTGGGATCTCTAGGATCTGCTTTTGGCCACAGGGCAGGATCTACTGGTCATTTCGGC